AAGGACTTATATCCAGAACGGGCATAGGAGTGTATTTGTCTGCATACTGAAGGACACTGCAACCAGACAATGGCCTTTCCCATAACTTCTATGCAAGGAGGGCCTCCCTGTACATCTGCAGCCTGCCATTCAAAGCCTAGCCCTTAGCGTGGGCAAGATGCCAGGCTGGCCACTTCATAAGCTGACCATAAAAAGGCCCAATGCACCACAAAGTCACACACAGGCAAAGCAAAGCCTGGACTTGAACAAGCAGTAGCTCCCATTTCTCACCCCCAGTCGCTGACCTGCGTGACTAAACTCCCTTTGACTCTATCTGTCGAATTAAGACCCGTGAGAAAACTCTTCAGCAAATGCCAACAAGCCATCATGCTAATTTCACTGAAAATAGATATCCAGCTATAAGAGAATGTCTATTGCCCTAGAGCTTCACATTTTAGATAAAGAACTAATCGTTTCTACCAGAGACCGCTTTAAAGAAGAGTTGGTACACAAGTATGGCTTTCTTTAAACTGCAAGTATGTTTGTCTTTGAGGTTTTTGTTTAATACAATCTTTAATTTCTATTATCTTATGAGAGAATGGATTTGCAGGTATGCAAGAAAATCTAGAGCACTGGAAATGGAATAAAAGGAAGAAAAAATTGGAGACCAGAACTGCAACTTGTAGCTTTCAAAATCAGGGGGATTTTGATATTCGTTGAGTCCCTTCTCTGTCAGATGGATGTTGCCAACCCATGGAAAATAGTGACATGCTTTATATATATATGTTATCTTTCATTTCTCTCAAGTACATAGTGCAAGGAAGCTGTGTTCTAAACAACGTATAAACAAACAATCATCATATTAATCTTTTACATATTTTGGCATTCAAAGCACAGATAAATCACTGTGCCATAGCCTTACCTATCATACTACTTACAAAATAAATCCAGGCTCAGGAGGATCACTAGATAACTTTTCCTTTAACGAGCTTTTCAAAGCTAATGGTATTTTTTAGAATATGATTTATTCCTTTTATTTATCAGCCTGCCTTGTTTCAGATGGGTACTGTCTGACTGACCTCTAGATACCCTTGCACTTGCTCTGTGATATCCCCAGAATGTCAATGCTTCAATTCTTCATCTTTCATTTCCCAAACGTTTCTTATTGGTCACCGCTGGTACCAGTGGCAGCTGAAGTGGAAGTTTATCCTCTGATAATCTGTACTGCTTTAATGGTTCCCAGCATCCTGAGGATGTTTTCCAAGTGTTATGGTGACACCAGCTGAGATCTTGGCAACAGAAAAGTGTTTCATACGCTTATTTCCTAACTTAGTCTCTTGTTTTTTTCTGCTTTCCCAACCCTCTGTCAGCCCCTTGATTTCTGTGGCTTAACTATTTTTGTTATTGCTATATTCTTTGTTATCACTTCTCAGTATCTCTCTGATAATAAAGCCTTTGAAGAATCTGAGGGCATTCCCACCATGCATGCAAAATCTCTTAACAAATTTCTCCAAACCTCCAAGTCACATTTGTCAAAAAGCTTAGCAAAAATCCTCTCTAAAAGAAACAACAGTAGTCACATCTTCTTTATATATTTCTCTGTAAACTAGAGTCTAGGAACATAAGCCTTGTAAAATGATGAGCATATTTCAAACAGTGCTAATATAAAATATTACACGTAAACCAATTCACCAGTTTTAGCCTGTCTCCAAAATAACGTATGCTTAGAAATGCTTATCCTTGTAGCATCACTATGCTTTTTTTTCCCCAAGATAAAATTAGTCTTGCACCAGCATGCCTGAAAAAGCAAAATTCTCATATAATTTCAGCCACTCATTCAGCTTGCTCATGACTTTTATACAGCTGACTGAACACCTATTCTCTCACCTGAAAGAGAAGCTGTGAGTTTGCTCACCTCAGTCACCTGCAGGATCTTTGAAATGCCTCCTCTTCTGTTCCTTCCAAAGAGTGCCTTCCCGCATCTCCCAGTCCATTTCCGAGTCCACTGAACATGCAGTCATCAATAAGTTCGGGGTAAGTTATCCTACGTAACTCTGAAGAAACAAGGAGAGACTCGCAGATGCTGCAGAAGGTCGTCTTTGCTCTCTTTGAAAATTTTGTTTTCTTGGTGGTCTGTCACAATCAGGTCTCCAGTAGTAAACTGAACAACCTATCCTCCTGGCTCTTCTTTTCTTCTTTTTCTTTTCTGTAAACACATAATCAGTGCTTCAGATCCTTTAGGTATCACAAACTGTATTTCTCTATTGCCCTCTACTGACTGCTAGCTACCACCGCCTTCCTGGAGAAGCGGCAGGCAACAGATACACGGTACGCTTTCCTCCGCCGCCCTCCCTCAAATCAATAATGATACACGATGACCAGAAGTCAACACAAATCATTCTATTTTTTCCTTTGTTACAAAACACCATGCAAGATTTACAGCTTGTTGGTCAGCCGCGGTAGCTACAAAACACTAAACAACAGAAGCAGGAAGCAGTTAGTAACATGGGTCTGCTAATGTGTTCTTTTTTCGGTGAACAAAAGCCAGGAAAGAGCAGAGACAAATGCATTCTGCCTTGAAATGTGGGTAAACTCACCCCACTGATGCCATAAATACTGTGCCAGGGAGCTGAGGGTTGTCTGGTTTTAAGGGTCTGGTCCTGCCAGCACGGGATGCACAGAAATACGGACTTTTGATGGGAGCTCTGCAGAAAGGGGCCTGTAAAGAGCCATGAACTGGAGGCCATGGTTTCTCGGTCATTTTCCCTTTGTCTCTAGTTTTATTCCTTCGGCACATTCAGCACCACGCCTAACGTGAGAAACAGTTTCTGCCTCATGAGGCAGGTACTGGGACAAGCCACATGGTATACCGTATATGAATGGCACTGGGAGGTGCTGTTTGCACTGCTTTTTGGACAAAGATGATCTATAATGCAAAGAGAAACCTGCAAACCAAAGGTAAAAAAGTGAATGGCCCGGTGCAGTTGAAGGAGCAGAGGAAAAAAAAAAAAAAAAAAAAATCGGGGTTTAAGAAACAATGGAAGAAAAAACAAAAAGGGAGACA